ATGAGAATTCCATCCATCCTCCTTCAACAAAAACCAGGTGTTTTCGGTCATCACAGTGGAGGGGAAAAGCCTGCTGTTGGTACCCAGCAGGCCAAGGCCCGGGATGTGGCTCCACAGTCTACAAAGAAGAGAACAGTCCCCCAGGACAGAGAACAATCCGCCACAAACTCACTAGTGTTGAGGCTGAAAACCTCTTGTAAGTGCTTCAGCTGGTGCCCTCACCCCTGGGACAAGATCCTACAAACCTGCCCACTTCTGTCAGGCTCCATGCAAACCAGGAGCTGGCCATAAGGGCCACACAAGAACATTTTGAGAGTCACTGAAAAGAACATAGAAGAACAGCCCCCTACCCCACCTATCCTCAAACCTGACCCCCAGCAAACACCAATGTGGCATCTGCACCATCCCGAGACACGYGAGGAATGTTGTGTAAATGGAACTGTGCACAGTGGGATCTCCTGACACCAGTCCCAGGAAGACTCATCCATCTTTCTGCCTGTGTCAATATAGCTCATCCCTTTTCATGGCTGAATAGTACTCCACGGTGTGGATGTGCCAGTTGGGTTAATCTATCGCCCACCAAAGGTCGTGGCAACCTTGGTGGTGAGTGCGATTACAAGTAATATCATTTTCTGTTCTATGTTTAAGATACTCATAATGTCAGACACAGATCGAGCTTACAAACACCACCTGTGCATACCACGCACTGAAAAGAGTTCCTGTTAAACCCTTAATGCTCCTGTGGCATTGAGGTGAACCCTTTCTCTTCCTTTCTAGGCAAGTGTTCCAAACTCAAACAATCTGCACATTAACGTTCTTGCTATAAGATATCTAAGAAATGAACTCCATGATCATGGTGGCAAACTCGGGATCCAAAATGTTTAAATGACAGCTGTTGGGGGCGTGTGAGTGGGCAACGTCTCTGCACCGGGCAGAGCCTCAGTGAGACTCCATTTCTCACTGGTGTCTTTTCACTGGCGTTGTTACCAGAACCTTCGCGGGGTTTATTCCTGGGTGTTCCTCGTGGTGCGCTGGAATCCAGCCTGATGTCCTGGCTGATCCCAACAGCTGGGCYGGCTGCAGCCAACCCAGGCCTTGCACACGCTAGGCAAGCCCTCTACACTAAGCCACACCCCCGGCCCTTTTTATTTTGAGGCAGGGTCTCACTAGGTTGCAGAGGCTGGCCTCAAGCTTGCAGTCCTCCCGCCTCAGCCTCCTGAGCAGCTGGGATGACAGGAGGGCGCCATCACGCCTRGCCAGTTTTTCTTTCATGTGGAGAGTTCAACTGGTCGCTGCTGTGGCAGCTAGGACCCCGATTCAGAATCCAAAGAGGAAGCAYCAGACATCATCAATATCCTACAAATACGTGTGCTGGATAAAAGTCCTTTTACCTACTTTTCAGGGCGCCTCTCCAGYCCCTTCTATAAACCTCCGTGTTTAGAAAGCATCTTGCTTCTGCCCGAGATGAAAAAACCACCCAGTGGCTTCCGATAAGGCTAAACCTACACCTACCACAGGACCCAGCAATCCCACTCCTAGGCACTTCCTCAAGGTAAACAAAAACCTCTGTCCCCACAAAAACCTTACATGCAAATGTTTCTAGTAGCTTCACTTGGCAATCACCGAAACCTAGAAAGAACTCAATGTTCCTCAACAGGGGATGGACAAGCAGACTGCCATACAGCCTTCAAAAGGGAATATTACTTRGCCATAAAGAATCCACACACGGCTGATGCATGCAACCGCAYGAACAAGCCTCAAGGGCCCTGCACTGAAGGAAGCCGACTATGACTATGTACCYTGTGACTCCATGTCCGCAGAATTGCTACAGAAGCAAAACCTGATGGACAGAAATCAATGGTGGCTGCCAGGGGCTGGCGTGGATGACTCAGGAACCTGAGAAAATTTGGGAAGAGCCACAGAATCTCTGTCTTGGTTGGTCATGTGACCCGTCTACATTTTGCAAAAATCTATAGACCTACACTCCAAAAAAATGGTACACTGGGTACATGTCAATCATGGCTTAACTGTTCAGGAATTAAAAAGGGAGGAAGCCATTACCACCACCAAGGAGGGGTCAGGTCTGTCTTCCCCGGGGCCCTCAACCAGCTCAATGAGCCCCTCTGCGGCTGGGCCCACGCAGCTCYGATCACCGTTGGTGTTGGTGCAAGTTGCCTTGTGTTAGGAACACGGGTCAGGAGAACACATTTCCTTGAGGATTTGGATGCTGGGAGGAAGCCCTGGAGGAAACACTTCCGATGTCCACAGGGTCTCCCTTGCTAAAATGTCCCTCCGTAACCAAGCTGGAAAAGGACTTCCACTTTCAGAAACAAGCCAGAGAAGAAAAATTGTGATTTCCCCAGGATTGACACCAGCCCAGGCACACGGACAGACACACACACTCACAAGCCTTGCTCCCTGGCTTCTCTCTTCCCAGGACGGTCGAGAGCGCTTCCGGCCGAGACACAGTGCCACCGTGGGCGTCACAAACAGCGCCCAGAGGCAGCGAGACCCGCACCCAGCAAGCCCGAGTGCCGTGACTAGAGCAAAACCAAGCGCAGCCTCTGCTGCTGGAGCTGCTCATTCAAATGCTGCTCCTATTTCATCTCAAGGTCTTGCTCCTTAAGCTCGTTCCCCTTTCAGACTGCTGGGAGTGTGCTGCGGGGAGGGGTTGCAAACCAAGAACATGGACTGAGCGCTCTGGAGAGGCAAGGCCCTCTGGAAAGCAAGCAGCCTTCAATATCCCGATTCCTTGCTGGGAAGTGTGTGCTCCATGACATGGAATCCTCTCTTCCTTGCAGCCTAAATCATCCCGAATGACACCGTGGATATTTGGGGAATGGGAAGGAAAGAGAAGATGGAGGAGAAGGGGGGTGGACAGAAATGGCCCCTGGTTCATCCTGCAGATGAGCAGGACCTGACCAAGTTCAGTGGCTCTGAGGACCAGCTACTGGGAGGCGAGACCGATTTTTTCACGGGTTTGGTGGTATGGAAGGCGAGCGTGTGCTCGGGTGTCTGAGCGCTCGGGTGTCTGAGGGGGAGCGGATCAAGGAAATGATTTTCTCCTCAAAGGTGGGGGAGAAGGTGCTCTTCAAGTTGGTGGAGGATCATTAACTATGGGCTTAAATAAACCTTAGAATTGAGGTAAAGAGAAAACCAAGCCAATCATGTACACTTAAACACCAGCCATTTCCTCTCCCCCCTTCCTCCTTGTGGTGCATTTAAAAAAATTCCAGAATACACACAAGGATTCCATCCAAGCCATCTCTCCTTAAACACGGGCCACACCTACTGGAAAGTCACTTGGATGTTGGTGAATCATTAGGAAAAGAATTCAACAGACATACAGAAGTGACGCTTGGGAGATTCTGGACACCCTGCTCTGTCCCAGTCTCGGTTCCCTAGCTGCCTGGTCACAGAAGCTTGATAAAAACAAACAGGAGAAGTGTCAACAAATACCACACGAGGAGGCCAGCCTTCCTGCCGGAGGGAGGGAGATCTCTGTTTACGGAAAGACGGCGCGAAGCACTTAYGCCCCGGACGTGGGGCCAACCACCAGCACAGCTGCTGTCCCCAGGTAACAGATTCTCTCTCCTGCCTGACATTCACAAACAGCTTGTTGACACACTYTCCCTGTCCCTACCATCAATATGGCCTCACACAGAGCTATTTCAAGTACYACGAGGGAAGCAGGACCCGGTGCGTGGGGTTGCTCCCCTGCAGGCAGCTCAGGGGGTCTCCGAGTTCTGTGACAGGAGAACACCTGTCCTCCATGCTCTGGCAACAGCCCAGCCAAACGCTCAAATACGTACCAAGAACATGTATCCCCATGGACAGTGCTAGCTGGGATTCCAAGTAAAAAGTCCCAAGCTTGGATGAGAGGGATTTCATTTAAAACATGCTCCATGTCCCACCAAGTATCMCTTTTGCCTGGGAGAACCTCTTTTCTAGGGGAAACTGATGCTATGTGATTTGCTCAGGGTTTGAGCCATGTTCTTTGCATCGATGCCTGCCTATTTTCCCTTTCAGCCTGGGTCCAGGTGCCGATCAGCTGGTTCCTCCTCAAACCTAGCACAGACAGTTCCGGGCTGACAATGGTCCGACTTCTCTTTGGACTTTGACAACAGCACACGCGCCTTACACATTCAGTAGAAACTGTTTCAGATTTTGCCCTGGGATCTCGAGTTCTTGCTGCACTTCTGATTCTCAGATGCGGCACCTCCGGGCAGCCCCAGGATCGGTAGGTCGACATGCAATGTCTACAGCATGCAGCGCTCCGAGCTGGGGGCTTGCAGGCCACGTACAGCCCATGCGGTTTCGGATCAGCATGTTTTCTACTTTTGATGAGTGGATGCGACCACCATATAATGTAAGCAAACAGGTTATAGCATTCAGATTGGCTAGGCTAAGCCATGATGTTCCGTAACTTAGGCTACAGGTATGAAGTGCCTTTTCAACTAAGGTGCATTTGAGGGGAGGGGACCACATGGTTAAGCAGAGGATCATGCTATGGTTTAGATCTAAGATGTCTCCAGAGGCCCCATACTAGGTAAGGTGGTGGGGTGTTGAAGAAGGGGGGGCCCCAGTGGGAGGAAGCTAGGTCTTTGGAGGTGCATCCCATCCCTGAAGGACCCTGGGCTCTTCCTCTTTGGCTCCATAAATCTCTGGTGTCAAATCTACAAGGTTCAAGTCAACACCCCAGTGGGCCAATGCTCCCACCACAGTGGAGACCAGGAGCACAAACTGCTCCTGACCCTCTCCATGTTGATCACAAGTTCGAGGTTCGCTTGGGTCTCATTTCACCTGAACAGAAACGTCATGGGGATAGCATCGCCTTCCAGCCTGGGAATGAGATAGCCCCAAGACCTTCTCTCCTCCCCACTCTCTCTCTCACAAAGGGCACCGTTAGCCCTCCTTGTCACCCTTCCACCAATGGCCAGCGATCCACCCGAGGCACCTTGAAGGCAAATTTCCTCCCGACAGAGAAGCAAACCCCTTACCTGATTCCTGGAGGTACCGATACACCAGAAAGTTCACCTCGTCACTGGTAATGCTCATCTTAGCCTCACCTCGCGGCGATGAGGTCTTCACAAAGCGGGAGCCACCCTCTGCGGGGAGAAATGAAGCGATAAGCCATCAGTCAGAACTCTCAGGACGCTGCCCGTGTTCCACGTCTGCATTCTTTTGGAGAGGACTGAAAACACCACCCACAACGACCCAAATGTCCTTCCACTGGTGAATGGACAAAGAAAAAAAGAGAAAATAAAATACTATTCAGCCATTAGCAACGGAACCCTGCCATTTGCTTCAACATGGATTGAACTGAAGACCATCAGGTTGAATGAAAATAACCCGGGAGGCACAGGGAGTCAAGAACCAACAGGTCTCACCGATAGGCGCATCTAAAAGTCGATTGCATGGGACTCGAGAGTACAGCCGTGATGACCAGAGGCCAGGACAGCAGGGTGGGAAGGGCTGATTAATGGGTGTAATTTACACTGACAAGTTCTGAGGTGCTCACGCACAGCAGCATTGACTGCAGATAATAATGCAGTGTGTGTTTCAAAAAGCTGCAAGAAAGCCTGTTGAAAGGTTTCGCCATAAACAATGATAAACGTTTGAGGAGACACAAGTTAAACCTGCTTTAAACATTATGCAATAAACACATGTATCAAAACATTCCATGGGCTAGGCATGGTGGTGCACGCCTGTACTCCCAGTGACTCAGGAGGCTGAGGCAGGAGGATCCCRAGTTCAAAGCTAGCCTCAGCAAAGCGAGACCCTAAGCAACCCAGTGAAACCCTGTCTCAAAATACAAAATAGGGTTGGGGATGTGGCTCAGTGGTTGAGTGCCCCTTAGTTCAATCCTTGGTACTCCCCCCCCCAAAATTCATGGTACCCCATTAATATGGTTTGTTTTTATGTATCAGTTGCAAAATAGATAAAATTAAAAAGTGCTTATTGCCTTTGATTTCATTTGGTGACATTTCTGTACTTGTGTACAGGGTGTAAAGAAAACTGTCAGTCAAAGCACAAATGCGTCCCAATCTCTGCTTGACGTCTGCAGAGTTTACTCCGAAGACATCGCCTTAGGAAGCCAAGTAAAGACACTCAAAGAGAAGCTGTGAAATCAGAGTACACACCCCGATGAAGAAGTGAAATATTATTTAAGGGGAAGAAATTAAACATCAAAAACAGAACATGGGAGCTCTGTACAGACTTTGGGGAGAGTGTCACACTGCTGAGGAGGAATCGGTGCAGAGGCAAACCTGATCCTTCAGGAGTTTTACATCCTGCCCAGGTGCAGCCCTCTGGTTGGCGTATCATCAACTCCTAATGAGGAGACAACAGACAGGCGTCTCTCAGGCTTAGTAGGGCCTCAAGGATGAAMGCGAGAAACAGCTTGCCACTACACATCCCGACGCAAATGTATCACAGACGTCTCCATCAGCCCCTGGGGTGCCACGCATTCAGAGATGGTAAACGAGGAATTTTTCAAATTTCATTTGAAGATTATTAGAATATAGAAAGTAATCGTGTGCGACTGTCAGCTGATCTCTGCACCCCAGCTGCAACATCACGTGAGTCATTAGGCGGACAAAAGCAAAATTTTCACAAGTTGAACCTCTACAGAATTTCTGACCCTTCCCCCCAAACAAACAATAAAAGAAACAGAAATTACTGACTCCCAGCATGAACTGAAGTTTGGCAATTCCTTGTTCCACAACTGGAGCTTCTGTGGTTTCAGACCCTTAACAGGCAGCGATGGAGACAGGAGTAGAATTCTGGGCTTTCAGCCTCTCCCTGCCCTGAGAACTTCTGGACCGGCTAGAACCAGGTCAGCAAACCTACCAGTCCAACTGCAGTCAAACCCAGAGTCCCTGGAAGGTGACTGAGTCGGGAAAGAGAAACTGGCACCATGCAGGGGAGGGCAGATGCCACCTGCCTGCAAGGGCCAGAGCCRTTGGGAGGAACAGCCTTGGAGAGCGCCTGGTCTCACTTTTCTGCAAGCTACMAACGAGGAGGAGACCGAGGCACAGYCAGGATCTCACAGCAGAGAGAAACTGCATCCGTGGACTAACTCCGCATGCCTCCCTGCATTCCCAGGTGCCAGGGACCCACTGGTCTCTGGGGACGACTATTCTACCTCCCCTAAGTCTGCCTTTTAATTTCTACCCTGAGGGCCAGGAACACAGAACAGCCCTGAGCAACCCATGRTTTAACCTGAGGGAGGAGACCGCAGGCCGAGGCCACAGGACATGCTCCTGGGCCTGCCTCGTGTCCCCTGACAAAAAGCACTTTTGCAGAGAGTGAGACGACTTTGGGAACCAGCTCTTCCTACCACATGAGCACCTGTGGAGTCTCCTAATTACTCACGCTGGATGACAGAGAAAAAAAAATTCTGCCCCACTTTTTCTGTGACTAAAAAAAAAAATGAGATCCAAGGAGATAGAAAAATTACTGGGCACCTACTATAGTGAAGCCATGGTAATTGGCAACACTCAACAAAAACACGACAAATTCCAAGAKTCTGTCTTTGGCCAGGCTCAGTGTCACACGCCTCTAATCCCAGTGGCCTGGGAGGCTGAGGCGGGAGGATTGCAAGTTCAAAGCCAGCCTCAGCAACAGTGAGGCGCTAAGCAACTCAGTGAGACCCTGTCTCTAATACGAAATACAAAATAGGGCTGGGGATGGGGATCAGTGGTTGAGTGTCCCTGCATTCAATCCCCAGTATAAAAAAAGATTTTGTCTGTGACATACAGCTCATTAAGCTTAACAAGGTGCCTGTACGAGTCATGTAAAGTTCCCCACGTGTCCCCGAAGGTATCCTGAAGAAGTGGCAGTCTTCCAAGAAAGCAAAGTTCATAGAAGAGCTAAATTCTTGACTGATGGGGACAAGACCTCTGAATTCGCAAGAAGCAAGGTTAGACAGAAAAAGTTCGGGAGTTAATTTTTTTTTTTGGTGTGTGTGTGCACGTGTGCACGCCTGCATACAAAGGGTGTTTTATGAAAATAGCCTTTTTTTTTTGGTGGTGGTAGTGGTCCCAAGCATTGAACCTGGAGCCTCACACATGCTAGGCAAGTGTTTTATCACTGAGCTGCACAGCCAGTCCTAAGTTGCCCGGGCTGACCTCAAACTTGAGATCGTCCTGCCTCAACGTCCTCAGTTGCTGAGATTATAGGTGTATGCCACCACACCTGGCTGATCTCACCCTTAATGACACGCCTTATGCCCCCTTGTCTTGGGGCAAGAGGACCGGCCTCTGTGATGGCACTCGGGGTGAAGGATCAAGCATGTTTGCAGAGAGGAGACCACCTCCATCTTCTCTGTCAAAGATGATTCTCTGTGGACAAGTGGCATGARGCCAGAGATGCCCGTGCCAGTTGCAGTACGGACTAATTAGAGGTTCATCCGGCCGAGGGCTCCTACCCGTTCTGAACGCACTGGCTCTGTCAGGGTATTGGCTAGAGGGCAGGCAGACAATGTCCTGGTAGCCACAGAAGTGCCAGGGATGTGGGACTTGACTCGGGGGCCTGTGACCAGGAGCAGACAGCCCGATTCCTAACTGCAGCCCCTGCACCTTCAGCCTGGGATTGCAGGCTGTGAGGCGGCCAGCTTCCTCCCTGGTAGCAGGGCATGAGGATGCAGGCCTTGATGTGAAGGCCCAGAGCAGGGCCCACYGCGCGGTAAACGCCCAGCCCAGGTCAGCTAGTAGGCTTATTTAGCCACCTCTGAAAAGTGTCCCAGAGCCACCTGAAGGGGCCTTCGCGTTGGACCAGGGCAGAACATGAGGCGTCCCCACAGGTCCCCTCAGCCCTACCAGTTAACCAAGGACAGTCAGCCAGGCCAGGCCGCGCCTACACATTCCCTCAAAGAGGCCTGCGCCYGGGGCATCCTTCTAGAGTGTGCAGCCGGAAACCCAAGCCTCTCTAACTCTGAAGCAGTTTCCCGAAAGGCTTCCAGCCCTGCCCTTCTGAGAACTCRGGTGGATCTTTTCCAACCCCTCCCGGCGTCCAAACCGAAAGGGAGCGTTAGCACCGCTCACAGATCCGCCTCGCCCCAGAGCAGGGCCAAGGCCAGGAGCACCTCATGTTTATCTTCCTGCCTGACCCAGTTTCGGATGAGAGACACCTTCAGTTATGTTGATTTGAGGGCTTTGGAACGGTGATGACGCAAAAAGGGGGGGGGGGAAGAACCCCTTCTACTTGCAGTTGAAGCCACAACACTCTCTCTGTGCTGCTTCAACAGCAAAAAGAAAACCGAGCGCAGGCCAGTGGCATTTGTGGAGACGCCTCAAGTCACACGCGTCTCCTTCCCGTATTCCTGTGAATCCAGATGTACCGCTTCCTCTCAAGCCYTGCACAGGCACCAGCTCTCTTCTATCACCCTGCCCATCTTTTCCTCCTATGTGATGAAGCTCTATACCACGTAGCCATTAMAATGATTTTAAAAAGCAACCTGACACATGTACTCTGTGCTTGCTAAGTATGAAGCGTGAAGTGCTCAATGCTTTCCAGGACCTGCCACAGTTCTGACATAAATGTGGCCGTTCCTCCTAYTATTGCCATTTTACAAGTCAGCAAAATAACGGCTCTGAGTGGACCATGCACAGGGCTAAGTTTTGCACACACATWCACGCTTCAAAACGTGCTGACAGTTATCTCTAGGGGTGGAACTGTGTTGGACTTAATCTGTGTGTGTGCACTCGCGCCGTCTGTATTTTCTACTATGAACCTAAATTGTTTTCATTTGTAGTGAATAAATAATTGAAGCCTGTCGGTATCTTTGCGTGAGACTCGGTGCAACATGAAACTACAGGGTTGGGAAAGCCCCCAACCAGTCTTCTGCTGGGAAAAGAACTCTGCTCTTTGGTGGATAACAACACCTCCCAAAGAGGCATTCAGAAAGGGTCTTCTCTAGGCCTGGCTGCCCTTGTGGGTTGATGAATGGCTGGCTGAGACTTCATGCAAACCCCTGTGCAATTCGCAGATGTTTAAGGGATAGAAAAGAGCTTGGAAGCCGGCCCAGAAGCACACCTTCTTCAAAGCGCTCCCCCTAGTAAAGGCAAACCTGTTAGAAAGCTCGTTTCTGGAGCCAGGTGACGGACATGGCCAACAGGGTATGTTCCCTCTAACATTCACCTCTCCACAGTTGGATGCAAGTTCTTGTATTCAGGATTCCAAGTGAATGCCTCTCAAGCAGGTCTGCTCAGGAAACACTGAGAGCTACTGCTACCACACAGGAGTACTTTGTCCTGTTTTTCTAATGACTTGGGTGTTTGCGGTAATATTCCCAATGTCCAGATCATTACAATGATTTTCTAGCCAGAAATCAGTTCGGAGGGAGGGAGGGRGGGAGRGRGRGRGGGRGAGAGAGRGAGRGAGRGAGGGAGGGAGGGAGAGAGAGAGAGAGAGAGAGGGAGGGAGAGAGAGAGAGAGAGAGAGAGAGGGAGGGAGGGAGAGAGAGAGAGAGAGAGACACTCCACATGATGTGCACCAGACCCTTGGATTTCAGGCACACACATGGGCTGGTTACGAAACCTCTATAAACACTGATTTTCCACCTAAATATATAGGATTCATCGGGGCCATAGAAAGTCTTTCCAGTGTTAGCATCGTAAGTGGGGTCATCTACCCATGTCATCTGGCCTGCAGAGGCGTAGTGGAAGGTGACAAGATCAGCTCCTTCTGTGTCCTGTCTTGCCTTACGATCCCTCGTGCGTGAACTTCCACCAGAGTGATGTCATGAGGTCGCAGAGCTCAGGGAGCCCTTGCTAGGGTTGGCCCTGCACTGCCTAGACATTCACCCTCTAAAACTGCAAGCCATAGAAACCCTTTTTCCCTCTAAGCAACCCGTCTCAGGTATTTCCTTAGAGTAACACCAACCACCACCCTAAGAACTCATAAGACCGATACCCGCTCTTCGTCTTTCCTGCATTTTCCCACCTCTACATCAGAGCAATTATCTTGTCTTGTCCTGGTTTGAAATCCATCTCGACTGACAACGTCAACAGTGACACTCTGAAATGTGGACCTTCCTCATGAGCATACCAAGCACTTTAAAACTGACATCCAGGAAGACACTATCACCAAAGCATGCTACAGATGACAGGCAGGCGCGGGCTGGAACGGTGCAGTCAGAAGCCCTCGCTTCCTAATGTGTTATTTGCAGATTATTCCCAGCCTCATGGAAGACCTACAGCTACTATAGTTCCCACTAAATGGAACAACACAGTCCCATTTCTGAGGATGATCTCAGAGGGCCATCTACAAGTTGCCCACTATGGGAGAGAAGAAGAAATTCCAAGTCACTTACAAACGTCTTACAGTAGGAATCTGATCAACGCCTACTTAAKTTATTGAATTGACACTTATGTTTCCTAAGCACCACATTAATACCCCATCAAAACAGCACCTCTCCCTGGTACYCACAGGTGTCAACCTAACAACTTCACAGAACTTCTCTGGGTGTCAATTTTGATTGTGTGTGTGGCCTTCAACTCGACACCTGYACACAGGTAACCGTTTTCTCTGCTACCTTGGAAAGCCTGGCATGTCAGCAGATTTATACATAGCGACCTACACGATTTTCTAATAAGTTTCAAGGTTAACCAGCAAGTCAATTTGCAGATAGACACAAATCATGTTAAGAAACTAATAATGCATAGAATTAAGGTACAGGAGCCAAGTAAAATCTATACTCAAGTGCCCAATTATAATTAATGCTTCAGCTTAATTATAATTCATAAGGTTGACAAGAGAGATCGATTTTCGATGGCGTCTCCCTCTCATGGCAAGACTCGGGAAAGTTTACGATAGCCAGTCCAGGATCCAAAATTCTTGGAAGGCAGCACAAGGCTAATTCCTCATGCAGAGTTGACCACATAGTTATAAGCCTTTGATGATGTTCTTACTACCTTCAATTTCTGCCCAGAGGAATATCTGCAAGTTCTCTTTTTTGGGGAGGGGAAGATTACTTTAAAACAGGGGTTCAGCTTTGGTGAAATGCTTCTCAAACGGACCTCGGGCAGGACTAGCATGGAGGGAGGGCACATGCTTACCGTTACGGTGACGTCATGTGGAGGCCTTTGGGCCAGTGGGCTGCCCGGCATCCGATCGTAGACTCCGCAGACCGTCTGCAGGCACGAGCCTGGGGAGAAACAAGATTGGAGAAGCAGACTTAAAGATCTCTGGGGGTGTGCTGGCTYCTCACCCCACCCCCAGGCCTTCAGGTTCGTCCTTCATGGTGTCCAAAGGTGTCTTAATCCCGAGCTCAGATGACAGGTGTGCTGGATGCAAAGCAAAAAGGAAAACAACCCAAAAGAGAAATTACAATAGCCAGTGAGGCATGTAAACATGATGGCAGAAAAGAGCCTCMAATTAGATAAAACCACTTTCAGCTCAGATACTGCTACTGCTGGTTATTTTTTGGCAAATGACTGTCCATCAAAACATCTTCGTTTTCGGACAATACCTCAGTGCAAACGATAAACTAAGCACAACTCTTATTTTTCAGTTGCTACAAACAAATGGGCCATTTCCCCTTTGTCCCTAAGAAATTTCTMGTCCTGGGTTGTGAATGAACCTCGTCTCTTAGAGACTTGAAATTATCCAGAATCATCTTAAAAACCAAGTCACCAAGACAATTAAATGACCGTCATTTTCTTTAAACTCTTACTCAACAGTTTTCAGTCAGAATCAAAAGGTACCAGGTTTAACACGATTCAGATCCACACGAGGCTGCATGCTCAAGCTGTTTCTTATTAGTGAATTTATAAGGAACCCCGTAAATTGTTTTCAGGAAGTTCAAGCAAATTATTCCCACTGAGTTGTGTTTATAGTAATACTGTTTAAAGGAAGGAAATTAAAGAGATTCTACAGGCAGGTTTCATTACAATGCATAAAAAAAAAGAAATCCTAAGATTATACAAGATGAAAGTAATACCAGGCAAGAAGAGTAATGAGATTTATACAGAATACATCCACAACTCTAGAAATTAAAGGGCTTAGGAATGAAGCAGCAACAAAGGAATATTGATTTTGCTTATAAAGTTTTTTTAAAAACCCATTGATTTATGGAAAGAAAAATCTTTAGTGGAGATAAACACAGCAATACTTGTTAGAGTAAGCGGAAACAGAAAGCAAATTACTGTTTGCAGGATTGGGCTGTAAATTATGAGGGGTGGGGAGTGGGMAGGGAATAAGCCTTATGATGAAATTACTAAATGTCATCAAGCATCAAAATAYGAGCAGATTTCACCACAATAAGCTCCAAATTGCCTGTAAATTAAAACATTACAATCCATAATAATTCAATAAGTAATTAATATACAGACAGCTCTTATTACAAGCTGTTCAGGGAGAAAAAAAAAGCTTTAGAAATGAAATTCCTATTTTCTTTGGTCCACAACAGATGGTAACTCACAAATTAGAGTCTTGAAGTTGAAGATTATCTTTTATATATGTTGCAAAACTCTCTAAATGTAATTAGCTTATCTCCTACGTGTGATCAACACAGAAAAAAATTGGGCATGGCGACTCTGGTTCATAACATTCTGTGGTTACGCAACACATCAGAACTAATTAGCTCACTGATAGAAACAATACAGGAAAACGAGAAATCCAACCCCTGATATCTGGTCCTGACCGACTTCCATTTTCAGTACAATCATTATCAGTAAACTGTACCAGCAAGAGATGTTGATGTCAGTGAAGAATTTGTGTAGAACACAAATGATGTTAATTACTGCAACATGTTCCTTYTCCCAAACGGCAAGACCTGACAGATATAAAAAGAAGTCTCCGTGTCCTGTTGCCCTGGGCTCCTGGTGTGGCCGACATACACACCCTGGGCTCTCTGGGCAAGCCACTCAGAAAGCACCTGCYTTCCCACGAAGAAAAGTAGGTCAAAACAGAGCTTGGGCTGATACAGTTCTGGAAACAATTAAGGCTRTAATCAAATATGACAAAATAATTGACGGACTCCTGATCCACCAGCCCTCCTTCCCTGGTGCATTCACCTTGACCTTTAAGTCACGCATGGACGTCTTACAGCTTGCTGTGAGGCCGGTGTGCAGCTCCAAGACCAACTTCTGCAGACAGTGGACCAGCAGATTTGAGAAGTGACATGTACACCGTGGGTTTTGCCTTTGCAATGCTGTCATTGCTGGCGAGAGGTATTGGCCCCAGGAATGGTTGCTGTTTGCATAGGAGAATGTGYAACCACAAATCCCACCATTTCATGTGAGTATAATGCACCAGTAACAGAATGTGTAAAGAAAATAATATGCCACTGGCCGTGAGATTTCTTCAGCATAGGCTGGTCATGGGGTGCATACACAAGGAATGCTAGGTGAATGAATGAATGATGTACCACATCAGGGATTGAACGCAGGGGTACTTGAGCCACCTCAGAAAGCCCATCCCCAGCCCTATTTTGTATTTTATTTAGAGACAGGGTCTCACTGAGTTGCTTAGTACCATGCTGTAGCTGAGGCTGGCTTTGAACTTGCAATCCTCCTATCTCAGCCTCCCGAGCCACTGAGGTCACAGGCATGCACCACCATGACCACCTCAAACTAGCCATTTCAAAGTGCACAGTTCAGTGGCATTTATATGTGTTATGTGACTAGAACCTATACCCATTTCCAAATCATTGTCACCACTCCAGAAGGTAATCCTCTACCTGGGAGGCTGTTCCCACTCCCTTCTCGGAGTTATAGCAATGAGCAGATGGACTGCCCGGACTTGCCCATGCAGGATGCGTCCTGTCAGTATAAACCACATCGCATGGTCTATGACCTTCTGTGTCTGTCTTCATTCACGGAGCATGTTCACTTCCATCAGGTGTAGCACACATCATTCCTTTTAATGGCTGMATACTATTCCGCTACGTCAATGGATTGCATTTGGTCCAGCAGGTGATGAGCATCTGGCTCCTAGGAACAGTGCTGCTACGAATGTGCATGCACGAGCGTATGTTTGGGCATCTACTTTGCATTCCCGGGGAGTACCTACCAAGCAGTGCCACTGTCCTACTCTGCTCTCTGGAGATCAGTTTACTCCTTCCTAAGAACCCAAGAGGAAAGCAGGAGAGGTGGACAGAAGCTGAGCTGTCCTGACCTAGGRGGAGAGAAGAGGACGTGGCTACAGAAGCCAAGCAGCCAACAAAGGCAGCAACCCCACAAGGAGGGTCTGCCAGCATAAGAGCCACTTGCCCTGTGGCCACGAATACCGGGCTATTTTTCTGTTGGGGGCAAACAAGATGACTTTCCCATTCAGACGCATGTGCTACTGGGTGCATAAGCACTTCCGAATAAAAGCACAAGATCATCAGGTCTCTGCCTCCCTCCCACCCCCCGCCCCAGGACAGCAGGCATCGGGAGACACTCCTCCATACCATGACTACAGGTGGAGCTCTCCTACAGGGGATACACAGCACCCACCCCCAACCAAGATCAATCCAGGCCAAAAAGTCAAGTACCGAGGCCRAGGAGCTCTCTTACAAGAAAATAAGTCACAGAAGCACCGAGTTCATCTCTTTGTGGCTGCTGCCTGGATAATTTTATTTTGCAGAGGGTTTAAAGATACTAGAAGGTAGCCAGGCGCAGTGGAGCGTGCCTGTAATCCCAACAGTTCAGGAAACTGAGGCAGGAGGATCCCAAGTTGGAGGTCAGCCTCAGCAACTTAGTGAGGCYCTAAGCAAGTTAGCGAGACCCTGTCTCAAAATAAAAAGGGCTGGGGATGTGGTTCAGTGGTCAAGCACCTCTGGGTTCAATCCATGGTCCCCCCCACCAAAAAAAAAGTAGAAGATAAACATAATACAGGTCTGAAGATTCAGAAAGGATTGCCTAAGGGTTATTTCCATAGGTTGCCAGAATGCTTCTTTCTGTGTGGTCCAAATTTATAAAATAAATAGCTGATGGATCGCGACAGGATGTGTTCTGATCGATTGTAAATCAAAATGTTTAACAATGTAATCACCGATTCTCTTTCTAGATAAAATATAATCAAGTCTGTACAAGAAAATTCCTTTAGTTGGCCACGGAGAGGCCAGTAAGGAACAGGTCTGGGGCCTCCTGCCAACAGCCCGGGGCCACTTGCCAGCCATGGAACAGAGCCACCAGGGACRTGGATCCTCAAGGGCCCTATGGAGACTCCAGGTGACATCTTGCCTGCAACCTCAGGAGAGGACCCAAGCACAGCATTCACCCAGCCTGGTCACACTGACATTGCTGACCTTCAGCGTCTAACCCACTGTCAAACCAGGTGGGGAATATGCCTGGGGCAGGGGGTCTTCTCAGCAAGTGCCTCATAAATCGGAGATCATGTTTGCAAGGCTGTTGCCTGGAAAATGCACAACCAGTGAACTTGGAAGCCCATCCACTGGAGATTTTAAATAAGTAGAGAGAGTAAGCCAAAGTATGTTCTTCGGAATGTTTTTTTTTGGACGGGGCCAGTACTGGGGATTGAACCAGGGCCTTGTACATGCTAGCAAGCACCGTACCACYGAGTTACATCCCCCACCTTTCATTTTTTAAATTTTKAGTTAGAGTCTTGCACTGTTGTCTAGATGACCTCAAACTTGTGACCYGCCTGCCTCAGCCTCCCAAGTAGCTGGGATTACAGGCCTGTGTCAATGCACTGGACATAGAATGAGGTTTTCCAGGTCACTTAGTAGGCATTTGTTATGAAAAACGGTCCCCAATCCAAAAGGACCGGCATCGAGGGGTTAAACGGAGATGGAAAGAGAAACAGCCCGCACATGTGTTTGCCTGGCTTGCTCTGAAGTGCTCTGAACTCACTTAGTCCTGATAATTTAAAATGCATCAAGTGCTTAGAATGCTATCTGCTCAGATGACCTGTACTCTGTCTTGCAGAAGCAACGGTTCCCATCCTCACGGGGCTATGGTCAGCTCAGGGACTTCCACAGTGCCCAGGAGCTGCTCGGGCACCTGACAACACCTTGTCCCTCTGTGCCTTGATGTGTTCACAGCTCGGAGCCGCAGGCAGCACGTACTCTGTGACATGCCTTCTTCCCCCAGCAATGCCTCTCCTGGGCTCCCTGTGCACCTAAGCACCAACCAGACCATTCTCCACCTGAGCAACCGCCCAGACCATTCTCCAAGGTCCACTCGGTCTACGTCCAGT